GAGAGAGAGAGAGAGAGAGAGAGAGCTATGGCATTGGGAAGAGTTGATTCATTTGGGTAGTTATGGGAACGAGAGGTCACATGACATACTCGTCTAACAGTAATAATAATGATTTGATATCATATTTACAACAATTTTGTTATAATAAACACATTTGAATGCAATTATTCACACAATAGTTAGTTATGATTGCAAACCAATGACTGCACTCCACGTCCAGACATACCATTGAACCGTCGATTTGCTGTAAATATCGGATCAACTCATGAGACAAATGGTGTATTCAATGGTGTATTCAATGGTGTTTTAAATGGTGATCACAAACTCATCCCAATCCTTAGCCACACACCATAAGCGTCGACACAACCAAAGACGACGGATCCGTGCATTTGAAGAGCAGATCCCATAAGTCGTGGCCACAGATCCACTGATCCCATGAGTCATCCGATGGCCTCGTCGTCATCGCAGCCGCAGACGTCTTCGGGTCAGTCGTCTTCGTCGCACCAATACGTGAGCCAACACTCGGCGCCCAACGCTTCCGGAGGTCACCACTCGTCGCAACACTCGTCCGAAGGCCACCATTCGGGCCATTCCTCCAGAGAGTCGGTCTCGTCGTCCCGGGGCTCAAGACATTCGTCCTCATCGCTCACCACTGGTATTATCCGCACTCAGACCGCGTGGTTCCAGAAGAAAGTCCACTTACGGCCGGTGCTCAGGGGCTGTCACCTCGTCACCGACGAGCTCACCAAACAGATCCCGGAGCTCAACGAATTCCAGTGTGGCATCTGTCACATCCACAGTAAGACACCATCCCTTCCCATCCATTGCCACCACTTGAGTAGATTTATAGTAATCGTTGGCCAGTCCTACCACTCCTACCACTCCTACCATTCATTCATAGCTGTAATCACTGCACGACTTATTTATTTATTTTGCTTTCTTTTGCTTTTATTTTGTTTTTGTATTTATTTTTTAATCGATATTTTATGCCTCTATTTAATTACATTCAAATGTTGTATAGAAATGGCTCTAAAGTGACTTTATTTAACAATTTTGGCATTTATTTTATTATTTCCTTAAGTTTTAGCCAATTATTAACCATTTATACCGTATATACAGTAGTGTTGAAAAACTTGTATTAATATATTTGCCATTATTTGTGATAGTAATGCACACATCGGCGAGTTTGGCCATTAATGAGGTATACCTCTTGACCACATATACCACGAATCGATTATCAATATATTAATTGATTTATTGAATAACTGCACAGAATTGGGATCCAGACGTTCGCGAAGATATGGAAATGTTTCTCTCGAGACTTATTCCTGAAGTAAGAGTTATTGTTATGGTATTCATGAGATACATATCATTAATCATTGGAAATCCATTTTCTTATAGACCACTCCATTCCGTCACTCGTGTGAAGGACCCGACGATATGCCGGCGCACATCAAAGTAATGAAACAAATGATTCATATCTTCATTGCTATCAATGAACTAATCAAACGTCTTGTGTTTGCTTTGTGTGACTTTAGGCCTGTTTTCTGGGCTCATCCCTAACCATACCAGTGAGTGACGGCAAACTGAACTTAGGCACGTGGCAGGGGGTCTGGCTCTGTGAACACCGCAACCGCGCCGGCAGTCGCAAAGTGACGGTCACTATTACGGGCGCACTAAAGCCCGGCGCGTGATTACTGTCCACAACATAAGTTACAAATTGCGACAAATGTTTAGTT